CCGCTTGTCCCTTGGGGTCCCCCTGGTGTCCCCCCCCTCCCCGTGTCCCCTCCTTGTCCCTTGTGTCCCCCCCCCGTGTCCCCATCCCCGGTGACGTCTGTCTCTCCCACAGGGCTTCTACAAGGGAGGGAAATTCGTCTTCAGTTTTAAGGTTGGTCCTGCACCGAAGGGAATTCCGTGGCCACCAACACCCGTCCTGGGGCCACCAAGATGGGACCGGTGGCCACATGGCTGCCCCAGGGGCTGGGGGTGGCAGCCGTGGGGTGGTGGTCACCAAGGTGGGACCTGCGGCCACCAGGGTGGGACCCGTAGTCATGAGCTTGGCCTGTGGGTGGGAGGAGGAGGCAGGTGGCCACTGAAACCTCCTGACCTGTGGCCACCAGAATATGACCAACTGTGATTTGTGGCCACTGTGGAGGTTGGGACTGGGACCAGGGGTTGGTAGCCACCAAGACGTGACCAGTAGCCAAGTGTCCTCCCTGTGGCCACCATGACGTGACTAGTGGCCACGTGTCCACTCTATATATTGGAGGTGGGGTGGGGGGATTTATTTGGTGGCCACCAAAATGGCCATGTGTCCGTCTCTGTGGGCTGAAGATGGGACCTGGGGTTTGGTGGCCACTCGGATGTGATCTTTGGCTGCGTCTACTGTGTGGTTTGAGGTGGGGATGAAAAATTGGTGGCCACCAAGACGTGACCTGTGGCCACCAAGACATGACAAACAGCCACAATGTCCCCACTGCAGGTTGGGGGTAGGGTCCAGGGGCTGGTGGCCACCACTGTGAGACCAGTGACCACCAAGACACGACGAGGAATCAGATGTCCACACTGTGGATTGGGGTAGGGGCTGGTGGCCACCAAGATGTGGCCGGTGGCCATGGAGGGGCTGAGCCGTGACACTGTGCCCCACCCCCAGGTCGGCCAGGGCTACCCCCACGACCCGCCGAAGGTGAAGTGTGAGACGATGGTTTATCACCCCAACATCGACCTGGAGGGCAACGTCTGCCTCAACATCCTCAGGTGGGCCACCATCACCTCCAGGGTGGCCACCGCCACGTCTGGGGTGGCCACAGCTGGATCCGGGTCCCCATCTACCCCCAGAAACCTGGCAGGGTGGGACGAGGGGGCAAACGGTTGCCCCACGCACCTCAAGTGTGGGCACGGGGTGGCCACAGTCACCTTGGGGTGGCCATGGCCACCTCTGTGGTGGCCCTGGTGGCCCCCCTGATGCCTGGCTCTGTCCCCAGAGAGGACTGGAAGCCCGTCCTGACGATAAACTCCATCATCTACGGCCTGCAGTACCTCTTCCTGGTGAGTACCGCTGGGGGGCACGCGCCTGTGGGTGGGGGGCACCCATCGTGGCCTTGGGACACCTCCTGAGTGCACCCAATGGACTTGGGACACCTCGAGGTGGCACCTGGCGGCCCTGGGACATGTCCTAGGGGCCCTTGTTGGCCTTGGGACACCCTGAGGTGGCAGCTGGTGGCCCTGGGACATGTCCTAGGGGCCCTTGTTGGCCTTGGGACACCCTGAGGTGGCACCTGGTGGCCCTGGGACATCTCCTGGGTGCACCCGGTGGCCTTGGGACACCTTGAGGTGGCACTTGGTGGCCCTGGGACACCTTTTGGGGCCACCTGGTGATGCCAGGTCACCCCAAAGGGGCACCCAGAGACACACTGAGGTGGCCTTTGGTGGCCCGGGGACACCCTGAGGTGGCCCGGGGACACCCTGTGGGGACACCTGGTCACTTTGTGGGGACACTGGGTGGCCTTGGGCCACCCCAGACTGTCCCCAACCCCAGTGCCACCTGGGAGT